CGCTCCAAACCACTGCAAGAAGTTCCCTTTCCGTATTCGTATAGCGCGTTTCGACCCCTGATAAAACTCGACTTGCGTATTGCACCACTCTTTCCGCGCCCGTTTCGTCGGTTTGAACTAAAACTGCCCCTAAACTAGTTGAGGACGCGTCACAATGAACCGATATCGGCAGCTTCGGATCTACCCGTTCTAGTTTCGCCGTGTCCGCTAGCACTTCCTTCAAGTGGTCAAATGCTTTAAGAGCCTTTGGAGACCAATTCAGTTTGACCGCTGGTTTTTTTGGTATGGTGCCGCGAAGTAGTTTTTCTGCGTCCGCAAAATTTGTTGGCAAGTGCGCGCGGAGGTAAGTTGCCATCCCTAAAAACCGGAGCATTTGCCGCGTAGTTTCCGGTCTGGGGAAATTTTGTACTGCCGTAACGAAGTAGTTTTTCTGCGTCCGCGAAATTTGTTGGCAAGTGCGCGCGGAGGTAAGTTGCCATCCCTAAAAACCGGAGCATTTGCCGCGTAGTTTCCGGTCTGGGGAAATTTTGTACTGCCGTAACGTTCCTTTCCGCTGGTCTCGTACCCGTTTGGTCGATTTCATGCCCCAAGAATACCAGTTTCTTCGCCAGGAATTTCGATTTTTCGATATCGATCGCGGCCCCCGCTTTCTGCAAGGTTTTAAGAATTTCCGCCAGATTTTCGCACAGCATAGGGAAGTTTTCGCCGAACACTATTATATCGTCCATATATGCTAAGCAGCGCTTGAAAATATGTTTCCGCAAGATCGTATTAATCGTGCGCTGAAAAATTGCTGGGCCCGTCTTAAGCCCGAAGGGTAAAACCTTGTACTGGACTTGCCCTTTAGGGGTGGTAAATGCGGTTTTGGGTCTGTCTTCATGCGCGAGCGGAATGTGATGAAACGCGGAATGGAGATCTATAGTACAAAAATATTGATTCTTTCTTCCCAAGGCGTCTAGCAATTCCTGAATAACGGGCATCGGATAGTGATCAGCGACTAAAAGATCGTTAACTGCTGTATAGTCTTCCACCAGCCTCCAGCGTTTGGAAACTGGTGCGGCGGGGTCGGAACATTTCTTGTCCGTTAAAAAGGCCGGAGAATTATACAGCGATTCCGCGAGTTCTAGAATTCCGTCTTCTAAATAGAGTTCGATCAATTCCACGAATGAAGTATGTCTGTCGGAGGAATGGCGATACTGCTGAGTAGCAGGTGGGGCTGCGTCGACCGTGGGTAATCTCGCGACGTGGTCTGTAAAAAGACCTCTGCGACCAGACCATTGGTATACCACCGATTCGTATTGCGTCAATATGCGTTCGATTTGTCCGCGTTCTTCCGCCGTTCCGTCTACAAAAGCAATGCCCTGACCTACTGTCATCGTTGGCTTTGCTGGTACCGCGGTGATCTCTTTAAAGCCTGTAAAAATTCTTTGTCCATCTAGATTGATCACGAGAGGTAGAAGCGCGAGCGTTGTTCGTCCCAAGATCAGGGGGAATTCGGAGAGTTTGGGCAAGACGATGAAGTGCGCGCGCATCTTTGTCCCATGAAACGAAAACTCCAGTTGTACCGCGCGATTCGCTTGTACGGCGTTGTCAGTCAAGGCGGTTAGCACTAACGTATCAGAGGGTTCGGTCGGTAAATTTAAAGAGCTTACGAGTTCCGCGGAAATAAAGGAGTGTGAAGCTCCCGTATCCAGGAGTGCCGAGAAGGGTTGACCTGATATAGCGAGCTGTAGCACGATAGGAGCAGGTGCGGCCGAGAGTCCAGGAGAAGCACAGTATGCCGCGTTTACTGTGCTTGTTTGGCGTTTCCCTGGATCTGTGGGCAGTCTTTCAAATAATGTCCCGGTTTCTGACAATGGAAGCAAAGATTCGTTGAGTCATTGTTTGAACGCGTCGTAGTATTAGACTGGGTACTCGCGGTATTGGTGGAAGAATTTTCATTTCGCGGCGTAAAATTTGCATTCTGGCGAAGTCGACATTCGTGACTCCCGTGTCGCATATATCGTCCGTGATGCTGACACCATTGCCGGGGTGGGAGCGAGGGCCGGTTTTTGTAGTTGGATTTCACGGTACCTGAAGATGACGAATTGCGGACACGGTGGTTGATCCGGTATGACTCGGCGATTTCGATCATATCGTCCCAAGACATCGTCGGTTGTCTCAGCCACTTCTTCTGGAGCTCGTCTTTTAATCCGCCGTCGGAGATGAAGAAGAGTTGCTCCATAAATACTTGTTGTAGGAAGGGTTCTCCGGTTTCCAGCATTGCCGGAGGGAAGCAAAGGAAGGCCTCGTATACTGGTCCCGCATACGTTCCGCAAAGCTGAAGTAGCTCTCCTCCTGTTCGGGTTTCATGCGACGGAAGGTCTCCAATCTGTCTAGGTGGGGGGTGGGGTGTCGGCGTGTGATCACCTCGACCAGCTGGTCGAAACTGGTAACTCCCCTTTTATGATGACGGTTTGCCGTACCTTGAATATGTGGCAAGGTGTTCTGCAACAAGCATCGGACAAGGTGTACTTCGGTGATGTTATCGATCGCCGGAAGGTTACGAAGACGGATGACGTAGTCCTCGAAGGCTTCATTGGAGTTTTGTTTCGGCAGGTCCGGCGAATGCAGACTGGCAAACCACTTCGGGGGTTGAATAGGGAATTGTTGCTGGTCCTCGCAGATTGTTGCCGAGTCTCTGGGTGGAGCGGGTGCTGATAAACGCGGCAGTGCATGGATGGCTGAGATAGGAATTTGAAACCGGTCCAGCTGTGCTGCGTATTCCGAGGGAATTGTTGCTGGTCCTCGCAGATTGTTGCCGAGTCTCTGGGTGGAGCGGGTGCTGATAAACGCGGCAGTGCATGGATGGCTGTGATAGGAATTTGAAACCGGTCCAGCTGTGCTGCGTATTCCGCTTTGGAGTTACTATTCGGCCTGCCCAAGCGATAGGTGTCCACGAGGAGCTGCAATGTGGTGATTGGAAGACTTTCCCACACACTAGAAGATGATGGAGTTTGGCTCTCCGGGCGTTTTTCCTTGGGAGCCTGTGCGCCGCTCTCCCCAGCGTCGGATTCGGAGTCGGAGTGAAATTCTTAAATGTGGTGATTGGAAGACTTTCCCACACACTAGAAGATGATGGGGTTTGGCTCTCCTGGCGTTTTTCCTTGGAGGCCTGTGCGCCGCTCTCCCCAGCGTCGGATTCGGAGTCGGAGTGAAATTCTTCGGTTTCTCCCAACGCGGGTTCCGCCGCGGCTTTAGAATTATTTGTGTTGCGAACCATTTTGTGAACGTCGGGTACGGCACGTGATCAATCACAGGTCCAATTCCAACGGACGAGCCCCCAGTAAGAGTTTCGGGGAAATAAAGTCCTTGATCACGGCTCAACGTACAAGTTTATTCTTCGACGTCACAGGCACACACAAAGTCAGAGTTAAAACAAGAGTAGGACTGTACAAGTCAAGCTCAAACACCAGAATGCCCCATCCATGGAGCTCTCCGTCGCTCCTCTCCATCGTGCTACTGATCTAGAGATATGAGGTCTAGGGGTGTAGGAGAATAATTAGTAAAACACTGTTACGCTAGATGTCGCTCTGTAAGTCATGGGAATGCCTTACTATACTCATTCGAGCGTAAGACAAGAGTCATTCAGCTGAACGCGGCCGACTGTGGCCGTTACTGAATTAATCCCGATTCTTCACACTACGAAGACAAGAAACTCTCAGCGATTCGTTCGTTTGAACCTGCTGCACCTCGCACACAAAATAAAACTTATGGTTACCTGGGTATCCAACATGAAACATCGCAGGTACTCAAGAAGCCACGGAAGACGAAAACGCACGATGCTGTCGTGCGACTCGATAGATGGAGCTTTTTTTGGGCGCGGCTTGAACAGAGGGGTAGCTGAGCGGGGATGGAATAATCGCAGATTTCTCATCGCAGAACCAGCATCTTTGCTTTGCTACAACTTTTCCAAGCCTACAGTGAATTACTGCACAACATTCAGAAGAAAAGATTTAAAAACTTAGGACACAGTTTTTCTAAAAAAAAAGGTTTATACGCTAATAACAGGGCCCTCCATTCTTTGTGACGGAAAATTTTCAATAGAATTAGAGCAATTCAAAAATGAAATTCATATACAGTATGAACATTTTAAAAATTGAGCTGTTGCGATGAAATTCAACTTTTTTTAATTGAATTCGAAGTATAATGATAACTTATAAATGTGCACACAAATTGCGTACCTGCAAATGTACAGGATATGCAAAGACGCACAAGTTTGTGTTTTCCTTCCAACTTTTGAAAAACATGCGTGAATTGTATGCAAAAAGTAAACAGTTCCAGCGAGAAGTCCGTCCACCGATGCACTATATGGTGATATGAATAAAATAATGTTTTCAATCCCCAGAGTAGCATGACTGATATTACAGTAGTAGAATTAACAGTCTGATATCCTGCAGCAGTAACCCAAGAACTAAAAATGAATAATTTAAGTCTGTTTTTGCTTGTTATCGTTCCCCTTCATACAGCATATTTATGCATGAATTAGGCTTCTCAATTTTGAGGGTATGCATTTTTATATTCATCATCTTCTATACGATCTGAAGTTCAGCATATGCAAATTTTATGCAAAAAAGGAGGCACAAAATTTGTGCTTGTATTTTCACTCGAGTGAAATTAAATTTTCATTAAGTATATATAGGTTAGTACATTCAAAACAACTCTCAACATTTCAGGGTTAAAAAATTAAAAATGTCAATAGAATCTATCTTGCACAAGAAATAGTCAAGTTTTGCGCATATTACTTTTTACGCTTCTATAATGTCCAGAATAACCATAATAGGAGTTCACGATTGGAATTCAAATGAGGGCGATTCTACGGATAAATATAAAATCTACGAATTCTACCACGTATACCTAACCTTTCTTGGAGTTGCTATGCCTTTAAACGGAAACTTGCAACAACAAACTCTAATAATTACGTTCTCTATATTCGAAGAGATATACAGTATTTCAAGAACTTCTTGCCGTTCAAATAATTCTCGTATATATCTTACGCCAACATGCCCACATTAATTCGAGACTACCTTCGAGAAGTTCCACAGAACCAAAAAATTGCAATGAGTAGCATCCTCCTTAGACATTTTACTTCCATCCATGTTCCTCCCACTTGAGGCAATACAGATTCATCAACACGAAATCAGCTTCTCATGCAGACGCATTCAGTACATACTTCTCACAGTTAGTGCAAGCTCAAGTACCGACGGTCGATTTCGTCTAGTGGGATCAACTTTCGCCTGAATAATACCCCTTTCAACCATACCGCGATGCACCAACAATTGGTATTGATCCAAACTATAGTATTTCCAACATTCTTTGGGCTTGCATACTGACGGATTTCTATACATTTTTTTGCAGAAAGGCAGATTTCCTTGCAATTCTTTTCGGACTGGCAAAGTTACAGTGAATTTTTCAGATCAGGAGAATATTTTTCTTAATACCTGCCATGAAGTCCTTCAAACGAAACTTGCCAAGATTAAGTTAATAACCAATGAAGCACCTACAGGCTTGGAACAAATTAGGACCAAGAGCTTCAAGAGAGGACAAATGAAAACTTGAATAAATTATTTCACCAGATGAAAATGTGACTTACTATTAGAAGAAAAGCCAACTTATCTTTTTCATAAAATAATTTCAACTGTCATATTGCCTTCCCAAATTTTCAGATACAAGAGACTAAACTATTCTACCTTTGATACATTTATTAAGCTGATGAAAATATCCTGTGAACCCAGCAAGAAACTTCTGCAGACCACTGATCCAAACAATCCGTACTTGAGCTTGCTATACGCAGTCATCCTCGAATCTTTCCATGGATTAACGCGGGTTTCACCGAAAAATTAAGAGGTCAAATGATCCACAGTCTCCGGCAATGACACCGTCCACGTAAAAACATACACGCAAACACATCCGAGAAAATAAAATCAGTCAACCTATAAGATTCCAGTTGCCAGTCAAAAAGAGATTCGCGTGAGGAAGAACGAACATTGACGACGGAATGTTTCTCTGCACAACTATACGTCCGTTACGCTAAAGAAACGGAACATGACATCGAACGAACCGCGGAAGCATACGTGTACATTGTGCAAATCCATTCGAAAAAAAACAGCAATCTCAGATTTTTTTCTTTTCTTCAGTCAGCGACCAAAGCCATTCGTCGAACATGTTCTTGAAATCCATCAACGTAAAAAAAATTTGCCGCGTGGTCGTCTCCACGGGCAACACATCCTCGCTAATGTTCGCTCCATTTCGCTTTCTGCGCGAAAATATCCGCCCTGAGGTTCTGCGCAAAACATATGCCGAGGATCTGTGGAAATTCAGCAAAACAATTTGAAACACACGTCGACATCATCAAAACAAGCCAGACTTAGGCAGCTCACAGTCAGTTAATAGCAAGCATAAATAACTACTGCAATCATTAGTTTTTCGAGCATTGAAGCATAATTTGATCAGGAAAACCACGGAGCATCACGCAACCCACGTACCACCATTTTTCTTGCTGCACCACAAAGATCATACCGTTACTGAATTAAATGACTGCTTTACACTTCCTGTAAAACTCTTTCACGAAAAGAAGAAGAAAAACGCTCACGACTGGAATTGGAGGCGATAATCGAAATTCACACGGAAAATAATTCGTGTTCTGAAATACGTTTTTCGGGAGTCCAAAAGAGCTACTGTTCCGAGAAAAACTACGCCGTCATGCAAAATAGCAAATTTGTCAAACCACAGTGGAGAGTTAATTTACTCCCAACACAAATTTTCCTCGTAAGTCACACCAAAATTATTCAGCACTTGCGTACCTGCGTAAAATGCACGCTGCAATTCTCACAAGGTGGTCTGAAAACGAACCCCATTAACCTAAGCTTACGGTACTAAAGTCTCGTAAATACAGTATTGGAAAGCACAATCTCTTCGCTTCGGGGTTGCTCCCAAGTGTGAAGAAAGCTTAAATGCTTACAACAGGGTTTCACGTAAAACGTTTTTCAGGAAAAGAAGATTCTTTTCTTTTTCCGTTACCTGACTTCCTTTCTAACGCTTTGCAATCAAAATTCCCTAATGCTGTAATTTAATTGCCACGTCACACAACACGTGTTTCATCCCCAAGACGCAACCTAGAAAAACTTTTCGTTGCCCAGTAACCATTTTCAAGACAAATTTTCTGGATTCTCTGGGCACTTTCAATGTTTCGGATCATTTGAAATCATCAACTGTTCTTTCTTGACGGAAAATGTGATTGGGTTGCTACAAACGCGGCACCCCCAATAATAATCAGAAACACCGCCAATATGATTATTCCGAGCATTCCGCCTTGGTTTTTTCTTTACCTGCAGGAAAGCGATAGCGCAAGCAACGCCTGCGACCATTAGGAGATTCCGCTCCAGCCACTCCTCGCTGGAGCTCAGGCAGCCCTTATCAAATATGATGCTAACTTTATCGTACGGCTACCATCAGACGACACCCAAGGATCACATCCAGAGCCAGTCCGTCAACGAAGTTACGCACAGACGACGAACATCGAGAGACGGAAAGCGGAAGAAAAACGGAGAGACGACGAACATCTCGAGTTAAATTCGAGGAACAGCCTCGGCGTCGAACACCTCGGGCTTTGCTCGTTATTTCTTACGAGAACATGACGAGAGAGAGAGAGAGAGAAAGAAAGGGAGGAACAGGAAAACAAGAACACGAATAAAAATAGTCCCGAACACCTCAACGAAACAACACGCTGTCACCGCATTCAAAACGTTCCCAATAGCGCAGTTGTGTAGCAAACTAAACAGCAATACAATGAGAAAACACTCACATCCTTTGAAAACAGCCCTTAAAAAAAAAGTTTGAACAACGAACATTTTTAGAAAAATTCGACAAAAAATAAAGAAGTCAGCAACTAGCGTGAATCATCCGTCGAAATTATAGGATGCAAATATCAGGGACTATCACATTGAATACGCACTTCAATATTTAGCAATGAGATGAAATTGAATTGCCAATAAATCTAAGACGCTTTCTCAGATTGCTTCAGAATATAATAGAAATTCTCTCGTGTGGGGTAAACCAAAAAATACACGGATTTTTGAATACGCAATACATTTCACAGCAACAACTGTGTGAAGGGTCTAACAATTTTTCTTGGGTTAGAAATTTAAAAGGCATATGACTGAGCTGAAAAACAAGCATTGTTCAGAGAAAAAAATTTTCGGCCCAAAAAATGTCAGCCCCGCTTGACACATTATTTTTGGAAGCTTTCTGCTATTCAGTCAAAAGATCATGCGCCCATCTTGCAGATTTTTGGTGTACCACGGCTTCTCCTTGAACAATTTTGAAATTGGCATGGCATTAATTCTAAGAGTTGCCTGAAGGTCATTCTGCCATTTTCATCAACCTTCACAGTCGCCATATTCTCAACCCAAGTGACTGCTGCAAAGGCAGCTGTTGATGAAAATGGCGGAATTTATTATCAATGAATGGCTACAAACCTTTGAATGCAAGCCATGTCAATTTCAAGAATTCTGAAGGGAAAGCTTGGGTACAACATTTTGTTTAGATGGGCAACTCAACTTTAAAATAAAGAGCAAAAAGCTGCATGGGTGACTTTTGCAAAATATTTTCTGAAAAATATGGCAAACAGAGCTGACATTTTTCTTGAGCAAAATAGTGCTTTTTCTGAACAATAATTCTGTTGGCTCAATTTTACGCAGTTTCAATTTCTATTCCAAGAACATTTGTTAGACCAATAATGTATGATTTTTTGCGGTAAAGAATTACACGCTTCTTTGAAAATAAAACAGCATTGATGCTAAGTGAACCCCACTTCTTGTGAATTACAAATAAATAAACCATACCTTACATTCGCATCAATATAGTTATGAATAGACAAAAAAAAGCCATCTCATAGAGGAAGCGTTTTCTCATTGTCCGCAACCAAAAACAAAAGTGAGTGTTTCTCAACGAGTGGACCAAAATGGCATTCCCAAGTCACCACGGTATGCAGCCAAGAACTAGAAGTGTGTGTTCACCTGCAAAATGGCCACTCCAACGGCCACCCCAGCTACGGGAACCAAATTTCTCTGCACCCAATCCTCAACGCCGCCCAAACAGCCCCGCTCGAATATCACACCAGTCAAATCCCCAATCTCAAAACGAGAAACAAATCAAAACAAGCCAATGGTAAATACAGCGTATTCAAATCGGTCATCTTCCATTACAGTATTTGCACTTATGAAAAAAACGTAAGCTTACACTGTACAATAAATACAGTACCGTCCTGTACATTCCTCAAATCCGAATTCATACTGTAGTCAAACCTTAATCACCCTCCCCCATTTGTTTGTTAAGTTTGTGACGGTTTAAAGATGATTGCTGGTTCATTAAAAAAATGTAAAATGAAATGAAAATCATGTATAATAGGAAATACAATTATTTTCCTTTTCGAAAACCATCAAAATAACCATCGTATGAGTAAATTATACCGAAGTAATGCTCCCAAAAGTGAATAACGTAATCTTATTGTTCCTTTTTTCTTTTTAATTGCAGACCTCTTGCAGGAACTTGAATCCTGTTGGCAGGCTATTGAAAACAAAAGTGAAGGACAGGAGTAGATTTGAGTTGTCGGTAATTTTTGCGAATGGTGATTAACGGGGTTCTCTATTATCATTGGCTATTATCTATTATCATTGGGGAACATTTATTTTTGAAAATAAATTGGCCGTTGCCGAAGATGGCGGCTTTTTGGGGTTTGACTGTACTGTACTGTACATGAAAATAATTCGAGTTTTACTCAATTAGAAATACTGTACTGTACACACGTTTTGTCCAGCGGTGTTCCGAAGGGGAAAATTCACACAAGACACATTTTTCATGATGGCATGCACCTCTAGAACGATTAAGGCATTCACATGAAAATACATTCTAGGCCTATTTAAATTATTGAATTTAATTACGGTACTTTTCGAATAATCACGGAAAATGAAAAAAACAACACTTTCTGTGGGCTGAATGAGTCGATGCGTTTCCCATGGTGGCCATACCAACGAAATGAGAGTAAAAATTAAATTCACAAATCACTGAGCAAGTACGGCAATTGAATAAAATTTAACGATTTTTTTTTGAGGATACAGTACACTTGAACCTTTCAGCAGACGTCATCGTTTAAATGTTTCTCCACTGTTCAGTCCTTCCAGTACAGTACAACAAAACTTCCCGATTATCCGGGATAATGGCTCAGGGGTCTCGCAAGGATAAGTTTTTCCCATTATCAAATGTATGTTTTAAAGATTTTAAAAAAATGCATGGATGAGCTGACGTATTATCTTACTCACTTTGCCACAAATTCCGGAGGACAATTGACCAGATAATTCGTCATTCAAATGGAACAAATCGGATCACATGAAAGATAAAAGCTGCTTTTTTCTTTTCAATGACTCAGACTCGGGGCAGGTTTTCCACTTGGTCGATCTTCCGTAAGCCCTGGGCACATTTGGCGAGATCGGAGTTCTACTCTATTTTTTTTCACGCACAGGAATGTACAGTACAGTACTTCGATTCTATAGTACTGAGACTGTTGTTCTTTCCTCTTCATCGTTCAAAAAAATTATCATGCCGTGTTAAAATCCTTCAGAAGAAATATTTTCCTGAACTTTTCTTCAGACTCGGGGTGATTCACGTTCGACAGAACTTTGGTATTGATCGGTGATGAATCAGCCCAGCTAGGAAATCAATATCAACAAGAGATTCCGAGAAAAGACAGACCGAAGAATCAGCATATGAGGGGTAGCATTGAGGTTTTTGGCAAAGTCTGCGATTTTCGGGAAGCAAAATGAACATAATTTCAGAAACGATAGATCACCATTATTTGACTTATATTTGAATGGAATGCCACATTTTTCAGCAGATGCTGTCCATCCCAGAGAAAATATTTATAGAAATATTTTCGCTCATTTACTTTTGAAGAACAAGCTGTCTACAATTTATTAACTTCAGGACTTCTGAGTAGTAGTAACTCAGGCCCCTTTTCTCCTTGGGATGAACTCTTTCAAGAAAATATTTTACTCAATGAAAATGTCACTGATTTACGGTTCTGTGCAATAATACAGCCATCATTTCCAAAAAGTAATTGAGGGACCGTTCTATCCCGAAAAAAACAGCTTTTCATGCGCAGAAACTTGAACACTACTCCTCGAGTACATTAAAAAAAATCGATTTCAACAGAAACAATTTTTTCGTGCACCGACGCCAATGGGAAACAGAACCAATCAAATACATGGGATCACCATGCTCCAAAAATAGTTCCCTCTCGTCACATCCGGATGATACTCCAAGATTACAATAATCGGAGTAAAACAATTTCCTTTGTAAGAAGATTTGAGTGAGGCTTGATTTATTTTTGAAAAAATTGCCGTTATTCTCTGAATTTCCTCTTGATAAGAAACAACGAGCAAAGCTTGGTCAATAATACAAATTGAATGAATCAGCACGGCACGGCGAATGACAACGTTCGTAAAGACTCACGTATTCTGGTTTCCGAACATCATATCCGCATTGTTTGTTCATGATGAGTTCCTAGAAGGGAAAGAAACAATCTCCAAGTTTAGCGTCAAAAGTGAAATCAAGCATGCGACCGAATTCTCACGCACATCCGGCTTTGGTCGACAGCATGAAAAGGGCACTCCACAAGCTTCACGCGAACCCACGTCAGCTGAGGAGCAGTTGAAATAAATATTCCGGTCCCAGTCTTGCGGTCCTTCTATTCCACAACAATGCAACTAAAAACACAGACCATGCAAATCAAATCATCGTATAATCATTTTCAAGTACAGTTGAACCTCACTAACTCAAACCTCCACGTGTCAAATATTTTATAAGTCCTCGTCTGAATTACAGTACTGTACCTTAGAAACAATTCATTAGAAAACCTCAAACCTTCACAAATCGAATTTTCTGCGGACCTTCTGGCTATTACTTTGACATAGGAAAGAGAAAAGCAATAAAAATGTAACTTGATGTCTTTTGAAAGGGAGTAAAGAACTAATTGGGCAAATAAACTCTTGCCTCTAAATTCAGGATCCTTTCAACTCCCTTCAGAAGCAATTCAAGGCCTAGAATATAATCAATTACAATTTCCTGCAATTCGTCTCTCTCCATCCCAACTAAAACGCTTGTTTTCCTAACTACAGTCGGTTTCATATTTAATTTATTTTTATGGTCCTTTGAAGTTCCAACTGAAGAGATTTGACTGTACTGTATCTTCTTCGATCGACAATTAATGATAATGACAGGAGATTCATATCAAAAACCATTGTGAAGAGAGTGATTCAACTGTAGGGTAACAATATTATAATCTGGAATATAGAGATATTTTACAGGAAATTTTAATGACCTTCGCATTTTCGCAAAACTTCGCCAATACATTCCATTTTGACAAGGGAAGAGTCGATATTGAACAATTCTGACTCGAACTCTAGCCAATTCTGAAGTTTGCAGGTTCTTGAATAGTAAGTCCGAGTGTTTCAGGAATATCGACCGAGTATTTGCATTGAGTTTCTGCGGCAACGTAGACAATATAATTTATCGGATTTTAAATTATCTAATTGTCCGATTACACAGTAATTCGTTGCCTCGACGATCCTCAAATGTTAAGGCAGTAATTTACCCAAGTGCCTTGGATCCAATCGATCAAATTCTGCTGGTCCGGATCGTCACGATAGTGAACAATGAAAGCTTGTAATCCATCCGTCGCTTGCGTTTTGATCTAAACAGAAAATTAAACTGATAAATTATACATAGATCCAAATCGATCATCACTCCGAAAATGAATGGTTACGCGCCAATCTGTAGAACTCAAGGAATAAGGGACCATGCAAAATTTGTTTCATACGATCGCAAAGAAGTCGATTTACCATCTCATCGACAGAAAACGCAACGTTTAAAATTATATTATTGCATCAATACTCACCCAGCTTTTGAACATGAAGCCCAAGACGGCAACTGTAGTTTCTACCAGGAGCAGAACGCCAAGAAAAACCGCGTACTAATGCAAGAAGAAATTCATGTTCAGGGTTCACACTCATTACATTCCGGATTTCCGAATCTGATACTCACAGCACCCAATAAGCAAGTATTCTCACGCAGGGCTCCAACGCATCCAGTGAATCCAATGATCACTGTTATGGTTCCTGTCGAGAGAGAATTTCAAAACAGATGAGTACCCAGATGCGAAAATTAGGCTGAAAGATACTTCACATCATCAATTGGTACCTGTTTTGAAGAATTCAGACCTCAAAAGGCAAACTTTCTTTGCCTCTCTCGATTATTCGACAAAAATTGTGGATAAACGTCGAGGATAAACCCCTAACAAATTTTCAACTTAAGCGCGAGATTTCTCCATAACGTAGAGTACTATACGATATTTGCAGAGATTCAAGACTATATAAGCATCCGGCTCAATCGACAGAAGCACCTGGGAAACTCAAATACAATATATCTTTTGCAAAAGCTTCACACGCAAGACAAAAACAGCATCTCAACAAGGTACGATTGAAGAGAAAGCAAACAGTGTTACGAATTTTTTCATCGTAATTTCTTTCGAGCCAAGAATGAAATAATAGAAGTGTTCCTGAGTAAGTCTCCGAGAAAATACGTTTTTTCATGCGGGCATTTCTGCTTGAGAACACCGATGAAAAAAAAATACTGTACATTATGTTCATATGCTGAGATTCCCGAAAAAGCTTTTGGCAAAAGATCATTTCAAAATCGCAGAATGAAATCCCAAATAGGTTTTTGCTTGAATACCACGCGTCCTCAACTAAGACAAACAACCCAAAGTTTTCGTGAGAATTTTTTTTTTTTTCAAAACTCTATCGCCGTGTAAGACCCACACCCCCGATGAAAATCCAAAATTGTGAAATCTTTTTTTGTTTGGATCCACTTTTCCCTCAAGTAAATACGGTCGTATACACTCACCAACTAGAATGAAGATGAAAGCAGGGTCAAGAGCGAGGTTCGTCAATCTTGACAAGTTGCTGAAGGTGTCTTTCTCAATCCACGCCCAGATGCCAATAGATAATATGGTTAATCCAACCAACTAAAAAAAAATAAACACACAGACGAGTTATACGACGTTTCAATTGGTTGAGAATGGACGGTTACAGGACAACCCACACCGTGACAAATCACCAAAAGCTCGAATAATTTTTCCTTTTACTAATTTATCATCATTTTTATAAAATTTCAGCACAGCAAAATGCCTGCAATTCTTTCCCCGAGACTCCCTTTCTTCCAATATTAATCATATGTCATTTCGCAATCATTTTTAAAATCTATAAGTGATCGACTTTTTCACCAGTAAAAATTTCCTACATGGATTTTTTTTTAATTCATACACTCACAGAAATCTAAGCTTTTGTTTGTTCAAAACCTGTAGGAGTAACTGTTTGATGTGGTGAAAAATTGCCACGTGTATCAGTTGTTGAGCAAAAAAATGCATTGCGAAGATTTTTCATCAATTTAAAAAATGCAACACAATTAATGTAGACACGCATGTTAACGACATTTTCCGGTGCTTTAATTTTATAAAAATAATAAGAAATTAGTAAAAACAAAACAATTCCAGTTGTCACCTTCGTTGAGCTGTCGCTGTTCGAAATATAGGTGAATCGAATGGAGTCATCATCATTGCAACTCACCCAAAATATGACGTTGAAGCCGAAGATGACATACTTCATGCAGCAGTTGATTTCACTTTCATCGCGACGGTATTTCCGAACCGGCATTTTCGCCGCACGACACCCACAAGGAGACCCCCGGCGCCAGGTCCCCGAACGACTCAACAAACCTGGCAACCTGCCACAACTAAAGAATAGACCAAATTGTTTTCATTCCACAACGCGGGAACATTTCAATAATCGAACACTCGAAAACTTTCGCACGAAATCGTAAATTTGATTCCATCGGCTTCTCGTTCGCTTGAAAAAAACAAAATTTAAACAATACAAACAAGCCTCGAGGATTTCAAACAAACGTGAATGTCGTAAAAAAAATGAATCACACACCCAGAACAAATTTCTGATCAGTTTTTTTTGGGACTGTCAAAAACACGTGCAAATGCCCAGTTTCCGGTCCGGAAGTAGCTTCAATTTCCAAGTGATGAAAGAAAAAATCGGCTGTTCTTGGATTTCGAGCATTCCGAACACATCCTACGCGGTTGCACGACGAGAGTCATGTTCAACGGGTCTCGCGTTGAGTGATTATAAAATCTCGTAAAACGCACTTGGGTCAATCGACAACGGGAATTTGCTTCTTGAATCTTCACAAATTATTTTACGCACTACTTCAATGATGGAATGAAGTCAAGTGCATTTTCGTGTGTCCACGATTCTTGGCGAGGAAAAGCTTAATACTGTCGTGCACTCTAGAAGAAACCTCCAAAATATGTTCTCTCTGCAATTTCAAACAGAGAAAAGTTCAAATAAATCTGAGAAATGAACCACATAGGTTCATTCGAGGAAAAAGATATTCGCGTCAGGCTAAGAAACGTACAAATCCCTTTGAACAGCAACAAAGGAATAATTCACTGACCAAGGTGCTGAACTGACCAGCACGACTTAAAAGCTGCACAATTCTCTGAATCAAGTTGTCGTTAAGCAACCCCTTCTGAAGGTGTCCCACATCACTGGAGTATTGTACTTCAGTCACAAATTAGGATGCATTATATTCGAAGTCTAGAAAAAAAAAAAAGCAAGGAACGTGAAGGCACTCGCTGTTAATCCAGCAAAAACGGAACTCAATCCTTTCCTTGGTGCATCAACACCAAAGCTTGGGAAGCGAAACGCAGCCCCCCCTTTTCCCCAGAAAAGATTACGTGAACATGAGCAGACTCCACCACAGAATTCCGACATCATAATGCAAAATAAAAACCCCTTTCAAATCAAGTAAACTTCCGCGTTCGGTCCACTTTCTTTGGAAAGCAAACATCGTCGCGGCTTGATTATCACGCAAATCATCAGCACAGCATCACATTAAAGTGGACTATAAAAATTTCTAGAAAATATCACCCCCCTCCCCTTTCCAGAACTCCGAACTGCGCTAATTTTCACGCTCGATCGATTGGTGTCCGCGGAAAATATAAAAATACCGCTTGGATTCCTCGCACGAAGATGCACATGAACTTCTTACGCTCCATTTTGATAGTCGGAAGCCAAAATTTCGGATGAAATAAAAATTGTTCAGATTCCTTCTGAAATTCGTCGCGTTCGATAATCTTTCGCGTCAAATCGCGGCTCACAGAGAAAAATCGAATTGAACGTTTGGTTTTTACAAACTTCGAGCGGATTTGGGCAATGAAACCACTCACAAATTTCTGGGGAAAGCAGAAACGTCGACACGCGGGGAACAAGACATTGGTTAAATCTTCCGAACCCCATTTCCCCTCAACCGTGGCTTCGACGGCTTTCACAAAAAATGCGTAGAAAATATTGACTGAAACACGCTCGTTTCACCATTCACGGGACTTCTTAGTATTGGGGAATGCTTGAACATTTTAATCCGCCTCGTCATCACCGTAAACATCAGCCTCGTCATCGATAACGCGAATCTTCGGTCTGCAGGGTTTCTTCGTGCTTTCAAACACTTCTTCCTCCTCCGTATCGTACGCATACAGCGTATCCGATATGGCAAAACTGCGACGTAGTTTCTGCAACTCCGCACCTTTCTTTCGCAGAGATGAAATCAAGTCTTCCAGTTCGCTCGCACTAGGATGTTCTCTTCGCCAGCTTTTGAGAACATCGTACAAATCGTACGCAGAACCAACAAGGAAGAATGCTGCTCCAGTGGCACGAAGGGCCAGCTGCAGGCCGATTTTACTCGCCACAAATCCAGCACCTGATCACGAAAAATAGTTGGCATACAAAAAATAGAAGGCATGCTTTTACGATGACAATAAACAAAAGATTCTCTGTTGTCAAGTTCGCGCAGGCTTACGCCTAGAAATCAAGCGCAGTCACAATTGATACGTTCTCAAGTGGAAGTCTATCTGGATTTTTCTTCCCTTGTACAGTACAACTGTAATAAAGAATTACAAAAGGAGGCAAAAAAGGTGAAACATCCAAAAATAAAACACATCATTCAGCTGTGGCGTTCAGCTGGGGATTTCCTTAAGGAAATCCCAAAAGATAAAATATAATTGCATTTCTTTAACCCAAATTAATTCACAGATCACAAGAGATTTGAATCACACAATAGATTTGAATCAAAGTAACAGATTCAATGTTTCACCTTTTTCGCCTCCTTTTGTAATTCTTTATTACAACAACCTCTGTAAATCGAACTTCAAGGGAAAAGCAAGAAAAAACTCGGGTTAGGAAGGTTTCGAGTAAGTCAAACAAGGATTTTCGATGAGGAAAATAAAAGAAGAATCACAGGGCATGCTAATCGGGGATATTCTGGGCTTCAATGTGCTTCTTGAATGAGGTGACAGGGTGCTGAACTTGGAGGCAAATTTTTATTCGTCCAATTAATCTTTTCACTTCCTTTCAAAACACATCGTGTTACGTTTTTATTGCTTTTATTTTCCCTGTATCTATCAAATTATAGCCAGAAGACCTCCTGAAATTTCCAATTACGGAGGTTCGAGGGAAAGATTTCGAGTTGGGGAGGCTTAAAATGCATTGTCACTGAAAGAATTCGAAAAGGGTCTTAGATTCGGCATATAAGGGTATAAAACTTAGAGAGGCTCGCGTTAAGAAGGTTCAACGGAATAACGTTCGTCTTATCCATAGCAGAGGAAGGTGCTAAAAATACACCAATACAACAGTACTTCCTACGCTCGTGCGAGAAATAAGTACTGTACTGTATCATTCTCGTAAGACGTAAGCTCTCGTAGATATTCTCATGGACTGTCGAGAAATGGCTTTTCAATTACAAGAAGGCTAACAACTTCATAAAATCTCAGAAAATACATATTAGGAAAACAATTCAAATGGGAATTACGTTATTAAAGCACGTGCTGCGTAATCCCAAGCAAAATTTTCTCGCACCCCACGAAAAACATTTCTCTCGGTGTTTCAAATACACGCAGCACAAGTCGAGCGTCACAAGGATCTTAAAACTGACGCCATGAAAATCTACGGAAAATCACGTATTCAACTCAATTTTAAAAATTAGGCCGTTCGCTGTTGATTTAGGACCATGCTGAGTCAATCGGACACCACACGAACCTGGACCGTAGAACTCCGCCAAACCTTTCACCGTGAGGCTCAATGCACTCGTCGAGGATTTTAGCATGATGTCGTGAATATGACTGCTCCATGGGTAATTCTCTATGGCTCGGCGGATTTTCCGACAAGCGACAGAGTCGTTGTCGAGCGCCGCCCGTAGATCATCACACTGCTCCAAGACCATACCGTCGACATGCAAAAGCTCAAGCAGGATGGCCTCGAATTCTTTAACAGCGGCTATAAAATTCTCCTTCACTCGGTCATCCGAGTAGGCCAATTCTCTGGCCTTGCGAAGGAACAGGATAGAGCGGATCAGGTCTCCAATGAATGCTCCGAGGATCAATATGCATCCTATTCCGAGCAGAGGCACAGTGAGGGTGGCGGATTCCTCCGATGTGATCGGAGAAACTATCAACGCTAAAGACGCAACCCCACCGACACCGAGGACGGATGCTCCGATGGAGCGCGTTATGTTACAGTCGCGATGATGCCTCCTGGCTTTCGTCAGTTCAACCTCAACTGATTTCACGACCTGCACAGAAAGAGAGAGAGATTAATAATGGAGAACATGCGCTACATTCAATGAAAATGAGAACTTGCCTTTTCGTTTTGAGCAATGAGACGATCCAAATAATCGAGAATGACGCATCGCTGTGTAAGTAGACGCTGTACATTTTTCTTCGCTTGTAAGTGCTTGTAGCGGTATCCGGAGCTGGTAGAACGCGCACGATTTCTCGACTCTAACGTCGCTACTGGGAAACGTTTACGGGCCATGACTAATCCGGATCCACCGGAATCCGTGGATTCCGCCGAAGTCATCATGTAATTTAGTAGAGCCACGTTAGTCGATCGAACTTCTGGATTAAAATCACAGCATTCAGAGAAAAAAAAACTTGTCCCCTTTCACTTACAGTACTTTCAATTCTGTATCACTCGCGCGACCACCACCACCACACGTTCGACAAGAACGCACACTAAGTGAATTTGTGAATCTACGTCCTACCAACCATGCAGGTTCGAGGTACTCACTGATAAGTAGATCATGACTTCTCAATAGGTGTCGCTAGTACCCTGTCACCTTCAATGTGTGTAGTATATACTGTACTGAATCCAATTTAACTTTCGTTTATCATATGAATCTAAGTTAGATTAACTGCTGGTTAACGCGTTCGGTCACGTACCACAGAATCGGGTTAACTTTGACTTGTTCAAATTTGAATAGGTTAAATAAGATAATGTTGCTTTTGATTCAAAATAAAATGATTCATTCATCCGTCACCTTGTTAACTTATGAAATTTTTAAAGTGGATGGAGAGAAATCTGCAAGATTTAATATGTCGGCACCATCCCAACAAAGTTCATTTCTCTCACTAAAACTCCTCCAGATACTGAAATAATCTGAGAAAGATCTGCACATCAGAACTTGCTATACCCGCCCACACAGCATGTCCTTGAAGAACAGGCATGAACATGCTGACAGACCGCGGCTAACCATTAAAGCACACGCAATAAAATGATAAACATCAGTACAGAACAGTCCTGTACACGTGTACAGTATTGTTCTTCATTATTTACCATTATTTTAAACTTGTACTGTAATATGATAAGGAAGTTAGGTTTCCCACTGCTGGTAAGCCTAAGCATTATTTGGACCATATTACAATGGGTCAGGGAGCCAAACATGTGAGAGGGAAAGAAAATTTCCGGCCATTGCCTACTGCGGTGGAAAAATTCGACCATGATTCGCAACCCTGCACTGAGTATGTACTGTACTTAGCAGTAGAATATATATTGACAATATTATACAAAACCATAGTGTATGGCATGATTTTTCGAAAATCCGACTGCTAAGACTTGGCACCATAATACGAAAGAATTTCATGTTCTGTAACGTAGTGCAAACAAAATCTCTGCTGCGGGTAGAGGTCGTTTTCGAGTTTCGTTACAGAGAAATATTTGTCCATCGGACAACTCAACAGCGGTACAATTCCATCCCACGCGCAACTTAGCTAGTTCATTCCTTGTGGTGGCTCATATGACTCCACTGCGGTGTGATTGATGCTTGTCGTTGACTGAAGGTGTGCTCTATCGTAATCTTCACATTTCCAAGCGGGATTAGGGAGATTAGTGCGAGTTTTGGGAAGATTTACACGAGTTTTGGGAAGATTTACACGATATTCTGAAGCTGGAAAGTAGTTCACAACGGTAGCTGGATTAGTGAAGTGTAGCGCTTCCACCACTTTCACTCCTCTTGTGGAAGAATGTGCCCTCATTCTCGGTTTCCTCTCTGGCTGAGAAAAATTTTCTTAAAAAATTACGAATATACGTAGAAATGCACCTATAAGTTTCACCATGTGAATTTAGTACAAAGGAAAAAGTGGGCATGCATATGCATTGGATTTGATCAATCGGAAAGCTGTACAATTAGCTCAAGTTTGTGTGCAGTTTTTAATTCACCGTGCGGATTGAGATTAAATAACCGAAGTACGATCATTATTACAGTACATTTCAAATCAGTTCGTTCTAATTCTTCGAATCTAGAAACTTCGCTTGGAATGAGGGATTTAGTAGTTTTCGGAAAACTTACGGGAAGCGATTCAGAGTGAGCCCGGCCGAATGATACAGCGATTGGAGAAATCTGTTTCGTTCAAGCGAAAAAATTTCCCGGGAAGAAACCATTTTCATAGACTGCCAGAACGCACACAGCTTTCCTTGTTTCTTCATTGTGCCCGGAGATTACTGGGATAGCTCCGATTTTCTCAAGCGATACTTTGCCGTTCGTGTCAACTGTGCACTGTAAAGTGTACTTTCCGCGGATGATTTTCAATTTTAAGAAAATTTTTCGTCTCTATTTTCAGACCCATAAAATTTCTTTGTCTACTATCGTAACGATACTCAAATCAAGATGCCTTCCGACTTGAAGAAGAAGCAAGCAGCGAAGAAGAAGGAAGCCGCAAAATCCAAGGGAAGTAAGAAGATCGAGAAGCCGGAAGCTAATGGTGTTACCAATGGCTCCGGTGAGGGTGCGTGTGCCGACTTGGAAGGTGAGCGAAATCCTACCCATGTCAAAGTTGTTCAGGCTTGAAATTAATACCTTGAATTGCAGTCGATAGTATTGCTGATGAGTTGACATCTGCCCTGGAGCTTGCAGCTGCTAACCGAGCCGTCACGGGATCGTTTGCTCTGCATCCAAGAAGTCGAGATATCAAAATCGATAATTTCTCGATTACCTTTCATGGTTGCGAACTGCTTCAGGATACCAGGCTGGAATTAAATTGTGGCCGACGTTATGGTTTAATAGGATTGAACGGATCTGGTAGGTCTTAATTTCTTTCGAGTAGTCCCAAGAAATTTTATGACCGTTTTCGGCAGGGAAATCCACCATGCTTGCCGCACTGGGTAACAGGGAAGTACCCATTCCTGAACATATAGATATATATTACTTGTCTCGGGAGATTCCTCCGTCTGAAAAAACGGCGCTTCAGTGCGTGCTGGAAGTGGATCAGGAGAGAATCCGATTGGAAAGGTTGGCCGAAGAACTGACTCATTTTGATGATCATGGTAAGATGTGATGAATGTAAATTTCACCCGTTTATACCTATTAATTTTTTTTAATTCTTCAGAAAGTCACGATCAACTGATGGATGTTTACGAGCGTCTCGACGAATTGGGCGCTGACAAAGCCGAAGTTCGTGCTGCGTTCATCCTTCACGGTTTAGGATTCACAAAGCAAACTATGCACAAGAAATGCAAGGATTTCTCTGGTGATGCAATGAACCCTAATCGTTGTAAATTTCGGTGATGAATGTTTTTTTTTTCACTATCTTGTACTTAGGTGGTTGGCGGATGAGAGTTGCTCTCGCTCGAGCATTGTTCGTGAGACCGCATTTGCTGCTGCTCGATGAGCCCACGAATCATTTAGATCTTGATGCCTGCGTCTGGTTGGAAGAGGAGTTGAGCAAATACTCCCGAATCCTCGTTTTGATTTCTCACTCTCAGGATTTCTTGAACGGCGTTTGCTCGAACATCGTGCATCTGAGCAAAAAGCGTCTGAAGTATTACGGTGTAAGTTTTTCCGCCCAAATTGGTCGGACCTGTTCTAGTTTGCGATTCACCTGCATTCTGTGATCTACACGGGGAAGACGGTCCTGTTTTACAATACATCGAGATAAGGCTCTCATTTACATTTTATTAAGGTAGAAAGTGAAACTGATGTGTTGCGGAAGCTCACTTCACTGACAATTTTCCACAGTTGCAGTATCATATGAAATAGAATTGAAGATGTCGTCGAAATAGCTGTGTAGAATAATTAATCGAGATGAAAATGAATTCAACCACTTTGTTCTAACAATGACAGTGTTGTTGTTCTACAGTGATGCACTGTAGTGGGAGCATTAATGTGGACTAGCTTAGACATAAATTGTGCCTCTCTATTTTTTTTATTCCAGAATACTGTTTTATTTCATCACGGATCGAAGGCGTAACAACGGAAGAATTTTACTGTACAATACTGTAAAACACAGACCAGAACATTAGTAATTTGTGGAGGCGGTGCTTTTGATCGGATTTGGGTTCAATTTTCAGAATTTTTTCGAGTATGTGATGTGATTCTCTCCTGCAGGGTAACTACGACGCTTTCGTGAGAACAAAGATGGAATTGCTGGAAAATCAGATGAAGCAGTACAACTGGGAGCAGGATCAAATATCTCACATGAAGGTGAGTTTCGATTGCTCTTCGTGACGTTCGTAATGATTCTTGAAATCAGTGGTTTTTATTTATATTCACAGAATTATATAGCTCGCTTTGGTCACGGTAGCGCGAAATTAGCTAGACAGGCCCAAAGTAAAGAAAAAACCTTGGCGAAGATGGTAGCTGGGGGTTTGACCGAAAAAGTTACCGGCGACAAAACCGTATCGTTCTATTTCCCTCCGTGTGGAACTATACCTCCGCCAGTGATCATGGTTCAGGTTGGTTCTTTTTTGTGCTGATGGATTGGATTTTGTGCTAAAACCTTTCGTTTCTTTTCGAAAGAATGTTAGTTTTCGATACACCGACGATGGCCCGTGGATTTATAATGATCTGGAGTTCGGCGTAGACTTGGATACGAGATTGGCGTTAGTTGGACCGAACGGTGCGGGAAAGAGTACCCTTCTGAAGTTGCTTTATGGAGATGTAAGTTTTCGGGTCGATGACTGCCGCTTTTTTTTTTTTTTATACGATGTATCAAAAGAAGGGACGTGTTGGATAACTGAGATACCTGACGCATGTGAATGATTACTTTTCACAGTTGATTCCCTCGAGTGGAATGATCCGTAAGCATTCTCATTTGAAGATCGCTCGGTACAACCAGCATTTAGCAGAGCTGTTGGACATGGATCTGTCTCCCTTGGAGTATATGATGAAATCATTCCCGGACGTCAAAGAGCGAGAAGAGATGAGACGAATTATTGGTCGTTATGGGCTTACGGGGAAACAGCAGGTAAGTCTTCATCATCGATCCCTTGACGTTCCTCATGTTTGCAGCCTCCCCGCTGGCTAAATTAATCAACTGGATAAATTATCATTTTTCTCATCAGTGATGTTTTCTCCCGAGTGATACCGTCTCTGCCTGGAAAGCGAAGTTGTGATAAGCTTGCCCATTTGAAGAAAGATGTACAGGAGAATCTCGTTAAAATGAAATGTTGGGGACCTTAGAAAGCTTCATTGTTAATGAATATTCGTTAAAATGAAATTGAAATAACGTTGTGACGATTGGAGAGGAATCGAAAAAGAAAATTCTTTGTAAGCGATAATTCATTGTAAAGAGATTCTGCTTGAGCACCACGTGCCCTCGAGTAAGCCGTGCACACCCGTTTTAGGGCCTAAAACTGCAACTTTTTTCTTAAATAACGCACACGGCTTTAGATTTGGACATGAATCGAGCATGAATTCTATTGAACATTTTTTCCATAAAGAAAAATTTGTTATTCTGAAATTGGTCCGAAATTTCCCATTAGAAGTGTGCCTTGTATAACGTGCACAGGAACTTATAAAACCCTTTGAAAATCGCGTACCCGTCGTCCACGCGTATCCTCCGTTTTCATGTCAAATTCGGAAACGGGTACGTGAGTGAATAGGGTGGATCAAAAAGATTGCCCGATACTTGAACAGATTTTTGCGAATTTAAGAGGCATTCAGATTTTTCAAGTCGGAATGGAGAAAGGTGTTTCGTTGTGCGCGAATACTGAAGAATATCGAGATTTTTCTTTTATCCTTCGACGCATTGACCACATGTTCAACTCGCCTCTCTTTTCAGATTTGTCCAATTCGGCAATTGTCCGATGGTCAGAAATGCCGCGTTGTGTTTGCGTGGTTGTCCTGGCAGGCCCCGCACATGCTTTTCCTGGACGAACCTACCAATCACTTAGACATTGAAACAATTGACGCACTGGCTGAAGCTATTGTAGAGTTCGAGGGTGGAATGGTTCTTGTATCTCACGACTTCCGACTGATTTCACAGGTGTGAAGAATAAATTCTGAGACCATCTCCGAATGGGAATTTTCAGTATGATAACTTGTGTTCACAGGTTGCGGAGGAGATCTGGGTTTGCGAGAAACAGGCGGTTACGAAGTGGGAAGGCGATATCACGGATTACAAAGCTTTCTTGAAGAAGCGGGTCTTGTCGGAGAACGATCGTTTCTTGAAAGCTTCCAAAAAGTGAACACTTAATTCGTGTTGCATCGAAGTCTCGTCGCGTGTACGGCTCTGCACTTGCGGACAGTGTCGGAGTTCGCATCTAATTCCCTTTTCTGGCACTTCACATCTTCCTTCCTGTAAGCGTCTGGTTTAGACTTTTTGTTTTGTGAAAATTGACGACCGTTGTTAGCGATTTTCAGTGCATGTTGGCAACAAGTTGGCAGAACTAAGGCCAGGGAGTACATAATGACGCGGAATGCTAAAAACCCAGTTCTTACGTCGCGCTTGCCTACGTGCAACGCAGGGCTTTCTTAGTTTCAGATGAAAGAAAAGTTCTGACTTTATTTAATATGACGGTTGTTAATGAGCATTTTTGTGTACTTCTCAGGGTCATCTTGTGTTTCACGTAAGATATAGAGCGCTGGCCTTGTTTCTCAGGTTGTTTTCGAGATGAGGTATGCCCAGCTCGTGATGGGGCCAGCAGGCAGTGGGAAGGTGTGTATGTTCTCCGTGATATTATTTACTGAAGAATCCTTTGGACGATCAATTTACTGATGTTCTTTGAAGTGCTCGTGAAGTCAATCAGAAGTGCTATAACAAAATATTGTTTTAAGCTATCGACGGTGTTCGGAGACAGAGTTGAATTAGGACGAGTTTAACGCGTGTATGGTGGGCCTGGGATGTTGTGAAATGAACGAACGAATTGATTTTCAATTCATTCACGTCGAGGGAATACTTCGCTGATTATTTTGTTGGTAATCATTTCACGTCTGTGCATTTTTGGGGACGATGTTATTTTTGTCAATCTTAAAGTTGAACCTATTTAAGTCGAACCTCAAGAGACCAGCAACAAATTCGAGTTGAGGAGGTTTGAGTTGGGAAACAAGCATTTTTGTTGGAAGAAAAAAAGCAGAATTGCGGGAAATTGTAATTGGTGATATTCCAGGCCTTAAATTGCTTCTTGGATGAGTTGACCGGATGGTGAAGTTGGAGGCAGGGGTTCATTTGCCCAAGGAGTCTTCCACTGTTCTTCGAAATGCGTCAAGTTACATTTTTATTGCCTTTCTCTTTCCTTTGTCAATGAGAAAATAGACGAAAGGCTTCAGAAAATATGTTTGAGAGGGAAATCCATTGAATTTACGGAAGTTTATAAAGAATGTTTTCTGAGGGAATTCAGACAAGAACTTGAAAAATATTCGATATACGGAGATTTGATTGATTGAAGTTCAATTGTAATTGCATAAGGAAGGGAATTCAATATCTGATTGTATCATTATTTCGAAATATCGCGAGGAGCGGGCTATTTTTTTTCGTGCCATTTGCTTTCTTATGTAACAAAAATGCATACCGTAGTGTTCTATCCTGAATTGACGGGGTTTCACTGCTCACGTGAAGTGTAAGTTTTGAAGCACAGCTTCGAAGAGAATTGTCCAATGAATCCACCTCTGAAACTTCCTGCACTTTCCCTCGCCAAACTTTTACATGGTTCACTTGCTTCCAGTCCACGTATTGTACGAACGTGCAACGTCATGCTGAAGACTCGAAACGATCCATTCACGTGATCAATCTTGACCCGGCCGCGGAACGCTTCGATTACGTCCCTGCTCTGGACATACGTGACTTGATCCAGTTGAGCGACGCCATGGAAGACGAAGATCTGATGTTTGGTCCGAATGGAGGCCTGGTTTTCTGCATGGAGTGCGTTTTTTTTTCTTGATCTACTGATCTTCAAATGTTACTTCCTGTACAGTTTTTTCCCCATCCGAATTAATCACGAAACATTTTAGCTGAGTTGCCGGTGTCCGTCGTTTTTTCTGCGAAAAGGAGATGCTCTCGAACCTCTTCAAGTCGTACTTCAAGAGGCCACCAAAACAATTCGAGTTACAACTGCGAGAAGTGTTGTTGTTGAGTGGAAACAAATAATAATTACAGGAAAATTCGATTGGTGACATTCTGGGCGTCAAAGTCCTTCCTGAATGAATTGACTGGCAAGGGTTTACTTGACCAATTAGTCATTCACTTGTTTTCAAAATTCATCAAGTTACGTTTTATTTCGTTTCTTTTTCTGGTGTAAATGAAATACGGTAATAGCCAAAGGGCATTCGGAAGATTCTGGTTATGAAGGTTTGAGGGGAAAAGCCTTTGAGCTATGGAGGTTTTTAATGCATTGTTTCGAAAAGAATCCAGACATGCACTTGGAAATATTTGATTTCGGCGGGAAGTAGTCAACTTTTGGACGTTCTAATCATCAAGTTTCAACTGTATTTGAAAAATTCATCTTTGAGGCCGATGCGTGTCATTTGGAATGACAGGTAGTGTTAATTCAAGATGTTTAATATCTAAAAAGAATAGGCGTTCAGTTTACAAAAACAGATGTCGGGTCTGTCTAAAAGCTGTGTAGGAAAAAAACAAGAAGATAAGTGCTGAGCAGATTTCGGTGCCAAAAATAAGGCAAGAGCTAATTATTTGAACCAGTGCTGCCCGTATCATGCGTGGAAAGTGGCCGCATTGCAGAGGTGGAGATTTTTTATGGGCTGCAATATAACATTTTCAAGGTTCCACCATACCCTTTTCAAATGAGAAGTTTTAAAATTAATCCAGTGCTGAGCATTGAATCGCAAACATAGCCGTATAGAATTTTTGAACGGTAGATCAACATTTTGAATTTTGAAATTCGTCATTCACTATACAATATTTTTTTCGATGGAAGCGGCTGCCATCTTGAAAATTAAGGGAATGCAGTGCGGGATGGATGAAGAGTCTCTGTGGGCCAGATGTGGCCCTCGGGCCGTATGTTGGGCGGCACTGGTTTCGACAATCACCTGACATCTCATGTCTCCATGTAGCTGTTCTACAATTTTTGAAAATCGCCCGATTTTCTGGGGCAGTGTAGTCTAAGTCTCTAAGAGATAACCATGCGTCAAATTTAACAGGTACCTCATCAACAACATCAAGTGGCTTGAAGACGAGTTGGGTTCGGGCGAGGATGACTATTACCTCCTGGATTGCCCGGGACAAATAGAGCTTTTCACCCACATGAATGTGATCCGAACCCTGGTGGAACACTTGGAAGATTGGAACTTCAGAGTTTGTGGAGTTTTTGTGCTGGACGCGAATTTCGTCTTGGAAAATTCTAAATTCATATCAGGGTCTATGGTCGCTCTCGCCGCAATGGCAAACTTGGCGATTCCTCATGTGAATATCATCACGAAAATGGATCTCCTGTCGAAAAGTTCGAAAAAGAGGATAGAGAGGTGAGCTTCAGTGAC